CAGTCTTCAGCACACAGTCCCTCTCCCTCTCTGGATTTAAAGTCCCCAGCTGCTCCATCTCCCATTATCTTTTAATTCTATTTTTCCCATGGTCTTTTTGAAGCCCTCTCTCTTGTTCACTGTTCTAGCACTTCAACAGTACGGATTATCTGATTTAGAAAATTAATACTGGCCTTTTGAAGTTATAGTATATTATAAATTTTATCAGAAATCAGCACTATGTGATTAGAAATGGTCAGAAACCATAAGAACACAATAGCTCTCTACTCTAATTTATGTGCATAAGTCTGAGGCTGTTCTCATAGTGCCTGGACATGAGAACTTTCCAATTTTGTAGGTCAGAATGGTCTGCTATGAGTTTCACATGGTTCAGTCTAATAGTAACTGTTAAACATATGTTGATAGAATTAATGGATGAACAAGTGAATGGATGACTAATAGGTAGAATTCGAACTTTTTGAAAAAGACTAGATTCCCATATACCACGCCTCATTCAGAAGTGAGAATGTCTGTCTAATCTGTTTCTTTCTCTTGAATCACATAATTTATGATTGTTGCCTATCCAGTTAAGTTATGAACAAAACTAACAAGAGGCCAGGGCACCTCATACTATGTTGTCCAAACAAAGGGAAAACCAAATTATGGAAAAGGTGACTGATATGATCTTTAACCTAAGTATCTGAAGATGCTTTTCACCTAATGACTTACCTTGGTCTTTCCAAAGCAGAATCCTAAAGGTTAGAAAAAATTGACAGGATTTAATGGGGTAGGGGTAGGTCCCTAAATGGGATAATACAGAAACTAAGTTCCAGAGATCTTTTCATAGTAGCTCTCTATAGAAATGTTAGGGAGCTCAATAATAACTTTAGGTTTTAGGCCATAGACCTTAGACCTAACGTGCCCCTTGTTATGTCAAGATCACATCTCAAGGCCTCTCACTGACATAGCTCTGGGAACCTGATTTATGTATAGCACAGAACAAGAAAGAATGTCTCACGTAGGAAGCTTCTGTAAGTGTAAAAACTAGCAATCATTGAGCATATATAAAAACAGATGGCAACACTAAAAAATGCCCATCTCTGTAGTTCCTGTGGCACAGAGCTAAGGAATCCAATTCTTAAAAAGTTCCTTCAGTACCATATCATACTTGACTTTATTATCAGAAAGAAGGCAATTATCAAATTTTGTCACATTTGTTCATCTTGCTTCTGCAATGAAGTTTTTGCATTGACACTGGTCTTTTTTCTGTGGATATATACAAACAAAAAGACAGTAGCAATGAGGACTAGGAAAAGGAAATGCAAGACCCAGATAAGGATTTTCAGCTTTTTGCCATACTTAGCGGGAACACGTGGAGCTGGGCCACTGTTCAAACTGCCCCCATAACCTTCAAATTCACATGTTGGAGGGGCATAGCCATAGGCACAGTGACAGTTCTTAAAATTATTGCAAACGCCCTTTCCATGGCACTTTTCCAGGTTGCAGTCATAGTGGAGTACAGTAGTATCTAAGCAGGTTCGATTGATACAGATCTTCTGTGGACCACATGGGCTACCATCCTTCACCTCTCCCTCATCAACCCTGTTTATGTCTTCAAAAAACTCTGTACCCCAACACCATGTGCCATGCATGGGAAACTGGATAAGTGTATGATGTTTTCCAATGCGTGGTAACTTTTGTATGTTTTCACATAACAGCCTCCCACATTTTATATCTTCATTCTTGCACTTGTTAAATATTCCTTTCGAATCACTGCCACAGTTCCCAAATCTGTCCCCCTTGGTATTCATGTAATGATAGCACTTTTCCTGGGCCACCCTAGTGCCCTGTCCAAAGATTTTAACACACTGATTCTCCAGGCTTCTGCACTGGCCCTGGTAACAATAACCTTGTTCTTTGCAAGGGGTACCATCTTGCTTGTGGGTATCTGCCTGGCACCACTTGGAGGTGCCGTTACAGTACTCTGGAAGATCACATTCATCTACACTGGGACGACAGGGTGTGGTTGCTTTTAGAAATTTGCAGTTTTTGCAGCAGGATCCAAATGCACAATCTGAACCCTTCTTTAGGTGGCATGAAGGCAGACAACAGTGATCCTTTTGACAATCAAGGACACTGCCACAATCACATTCTTCTCCTTGATCCACTATCTTATTCCCACAATATGATTTTCCAAAGGAGCTCTGGAGTTCAGGTTTATTAAACAGGCAATTCCCTCTGTGTTTATGCAACAGCTGGTAGAAGTAATGGAAGCTGCAGTCGCTGAAGCCCATATCTACAGTAATGAATTCATGCATAGTACAGAGGTTCTGGCCATGGCACTTGCAGTCCACATGGTCATGCTTCATTCCCAGGTTGTGGCCAAGTTCATGAGCCATGAGTGCTGCCAAATGGAGTGTATCTTCATGAGAGAAGGCTTCAACACTGGTTGCATTTTTATCAGTGCAAATACCACTGAGAAATGCATGACCCTGGTACTTTCCAAGATTTTGGCCAATAATCATGTGAGCAACATCATGCCTTACCCTTCTCAAAAGATGCCAGTCTCTCCATTGGTTAAAATTTTGAAGGGTTTCCTGCAGATTCAAGGCAATTTGCACTAGGTTTCTCTCTGTCCATATCTCTAATCCAGTAAGGACTACTTTCACATTTACCTCCCTCATGTACCTATTGACCAGAGCATGAACATCCATTACCATCTGTGTCGTTTTGGTCACATTATAATTCCACATTTGGAACCGTTTATTATCAACCACAATAAACATCTCTACATACTTGGGATGTGACCACATATAGGGCATACGGAGTGAGGAGAGTTCTATTCTGCTCTGAAATTGTGAATTGGTTAAGAGTTCTTCCTGTTCATCTCCATTGACTACACAGGATACATCTGATTTTAGAGATACTCTATAAACCATATGCTCAAATTTATTTGAGGTATTTATAGGCTTGATACCAAAAACAGTGCCTTGTAAAGTCAATATTCCCCTTAGCCCTGAGCAAGTACTGATAGTAACAAGAGAACCTGTGTCACCTTCTGAGTACCCATCATAGTAGCAGTCATCCTGTATAAAAGGCATATCCAATCTTAGTTTTCCATTTTGATGTGTATAGACAGGAAAGTTCTTGACAAATAGTCCTCTCTTCTGCTTCAAGTTAATAACATGCCGTTTTCCTCTTATCAAAAGGACATAAGATACTTTTTCTGCTTTTTCTTCCACTCCTCTGAACATCATCAGGTTCCTAGGGATTACTATTTCATAATAAAGAGATTCCTGCTTACAATGCATCCCTTGAAAAATTGACCCTATCAGCAACATGATGACATGCAGCTTGAAAGAGGAAGAGCCCATTTTTAGATGTCCCATCTGATGACTTCTAGATGAAAAATCATTCCAAACCTTATCCATGACTACTTGATTTTATAGAAGGGACAGGAGAGAGGCAAAGTACCTAACTGAAGATTTTTTTGTCATGGCCCAAGTAAAACATAGCTATTGACCTCTGTATCTCCCAATGTTTTTTCTTGGGACCCAAATCTTTGTCTTTGGCACAGTTGTTTGGACAAAGCTCAAAGCTATACTGCTTGCTAGAAGGCTATCTGCTCCCATCCCTGAGGCAGGTGATGACACCTGCCTTTTGATTATGTTTCTTCCTACCCTTGTTGTGCTTTCTTCCTTAAGACCTTACTCCACAACTTTCGAGTCAAATAACAGTTTCAGTTCTCCTTAGCTGACCTGCTGTTGTCTTCATAGTGGAGTACACCAAAGAAAGGACGGTTGCAGAAATCAAGCTAGCCCTCTGACCCCAAATCAGGCCCTGAAAAAAGAAAAACAAAAAACATATCCCTCTTCCTTCAGTCCCAGTCCCCATGGAACACCCTTCCCCCACCACTCCTGGTATCCGTTATTCTTATAAGTCGTTGAAACTAAAAGTTCCAAAGTAGAGGTTTGTGGATCCCTTGGTAGGTCCCAGGGCTGCTGCCCAATTCCTTTTACACCATTCCCTGCTCTGTACCATACAGCCCATTTCAAACCACAAACCTTTTATGCTTTTAAAAAAGTTTGGGGCTACCGACTTTCACTTAACCAGTCACTTTGTTGTCCCAAGATCCTTCTCTGGGTGATTACTCACCTTATTTAAAGTGATGAATCTTGAGCTTTGCTATAAAATTCCCTTTGTGTCTGAAGCACAGGCATATCCCTATCCTATATGATGGGTGATATTTGCTCATTAGGGCAAGAGGCAGCAGTTAGGAGATCCCAAATATGAAAAGCTAAGGATTAACTTTAAAAAGGAGGAGCAATTCCCAAAAGTATCAGTAGGCCTTTCCTGTAACACATGTGTAGAAAGCAACACAAGGAAAACAAATTTGGTCCTTAGTATCTAAGGAGCCAAGTTCCAGAGTTAGAGAATAAATACCTCCCAGACATATTCATATCTGTTTTTGTTAAGTGCCATCAAGTCAGTTCCTGTTCGTGGAGAGCCTATATAGGGTTTCCCAGACTGTAAATCTTTTACAGGAGCAGAAAGCCTTTCTCGAAGAGTGGCTGGTGGGCTCAAACCTCCAACCTTGTGGTTATCAGTCTGATGTTTATACTACAGAGCCAGCATACTCCATACTTAGACCTGCTGTTGTTGTTTTTAAGTGCCATTGAGTCAGTTCCAACTCATAGCGACCCAAGGAGAAGCTGGTGAGCTTGAACCACCAACCTTGCAGTCCAAACGGTTTTGCAGTCTGGTGCATTAACCCACAGTGCCACACCAGGACTCCACTATTGATGAGGTCAACGTAGAACCTATACAGTCTACCAAAATATAAGCTCAAACTATACATCCTTGATGATGCATTGTAATTTATTTGGTTATTCCTAGAGAAAAATGCTCCCCATAGAAGAATACATATATACCCTGGTGTGGTGCTGTAGGATACACACTGGACTGATAACCACAAGGTCAGCAGTTCAAACCTATTAGCTGCTCCTTTGAAACCCTGTATAGGGTCATTGTGAGTCAGAATCAACTTGACTGCATTTAATAACAATCTAGCAATCAATTTTGTGAATTGGGGAAGTATAACCTTTTTTATACAAAATAGTTTTAATTAATAGACTATCTATTAGAGTAGTTATAGATTTACAGGAAAATTGAGCAGAAAGTACAAAGTACTCTGTATTTTTCCTACACAACCCCCCTCACAGTTTCTCCTATTATTTACATTTTGTGTTAATATAGTCCATTATTTAAAAATGATAAACCAATATTGATACATAATTACATAAAGTCCATAATTTACATTAAGATTTCACTTTATGTTGTGTCATACAATGGATTTTGACAAGTACATTATATTTTATAGTCACCAGTATACAGTAAATTGAAAGCCAGAAACTGTGTAAGGGGGAAACCTGTCAGGAAGGAAAGCTCACATATTTCCCACTAGAACAAGCAGTAGAAAGTAGTAAGACTTCCTATAATAGGTAGTCCAGGTGAGTTCAGGTTCTCACAGGTTTCACTGTTATATCATACAAGTTTCGTTTCCTTTAAAATGTCTTTTGCTCAACTTCTTTGCCCCTTCCTTCCTCCTTCAACTCCTGTCAACTACTGTTTCTGTAGTTTTTCCTATTCCAGAAGATCATTAAATTGGAACTATACACTTGGTAACCTTTTTTCTTATACTTAACATTGTGTATTTAAATTTACTATTTATGAGCATAGGCTGTTTCTCCATTTATTTAGGTCTTCTTTGATTTTCTTTCATTGGAATTTTGTAGTTTTCTTCATATAGATCCTCTAAATACTTTGTTACATATTTATGACAGCAGTTTTTTGTTTATTGTTTCAGTTTATCGCTAAGTGTTTCATTTTTTTTAAGCTAATACAATTGATACTGTGCTTCTAATTTCAAATTTCATTTGTTTGTTGCTGCTATAAAGGGAAGCAAGCAGTTGATTTTTTAAAATCTTTGATATGGAAAGTTTTTTTGAACTTACTGATGTGAATTGGGTGAAGGTTTACAGAGCAAATCAGTTTCCCAGTCAACAAATCATACATATTTTGTTTCACCTTATGCTTTACAATCCCTACAATGTAACATAATTTATCCCACTTTCTCCTTGTGTTTCCTGTTTCTACTCCTCCTTCTTCCTAACCCTTCTGAACATTGTCCTTGGATAAATGCTTCCCTTTTGATCTCAAATGGTTGAATAATACAACGTGTGTATACCTCACTAGTATTATTGTTCCCCTTATAGACCTGTCTATTGTCTGTCGTGGTGTGGCACTGTAGGGTAAGAACTGGCCTCCTAATCACAAGGCCAGTGGTTAAAACCCACCAACCTCTCCTCAGAAACTTTCTACAGGTTCTCTGAGTCAGAACTGATTCGACAGCACTTAACAACAACAATTATTTGTCTGAAAATTGAGGCATCAGGGTGAGTTCATTTTCAGATCTGAAAGGTGACTAAGGGCCATAGTATTAGCCTTCTACTAGTCTCTATCTGACTAATAAATTAGCCTGCTCTTTGTGTGTGTGTGTGTGTGTGTGTGTGTGTGCATTGAGTGATTAGGTTATGTGGGGGAACATCAGTTTTGCACTCATCATTTCACTGCAATGATTACAATGTCCTCTGTTCATTATCATTCAACAGTATTTGCTTCTATTCCCCATTTGTTTTAGAGTGTGGGATGTACACAAAAACACTCAGGAATACATAATCATTTAAACAACCACACTCTGCAAACCTGACCCCTAGCCACCAGCACCTGGCTGCCAGCATACAGCCTTTCTCTTTCCATGGGTCTAGAGTCCTCAGCTGCTCTCTCTCTCCATGCCCTCATCTCTGCCTCCATCTCTGGTGTTGCTGCCTCTCTGGATAGGGTCCCATATTCTGCTTGTGCTCTTCTTTGATGATCCTAGGGTCCTCTGTTCCTGGACTATAAGATTAACTACTCCCTCTTTTTGTAACAGAACTTCTACCTTTACAGTTATGACAGTCTCAATTAGTCATGATAATAATTACTCACTGTTGAATCGTAAGACTATTATCTCCATCTCCTTTTACCTGACCTATCTAGACAAGATGAAAACTATTCAGTGGGGGTTCTACCTTCCCCCACATACTCTTAAATTAAACTCCCTCTTGAAAACTTGTAAGCCAGTCACCCCGTGTCTGTATAGTCCCTCTCATTTTGGGTAGCCAATGTCTAAGTTGCCTGTCGCTGTCAACCCTGTATACAGAGGGGATAAGATTGATTTTGGATGTGATGACTCCTTCCCTCTCAGTTGGTACCCTGAGCCACTAAATACGTAAGTATAGGTCAAGTTCATCAAATTGTAGTCATTTACACTTGTTTCCTTTATAAAAAAAAAAATTTTTTTTTTTTTCTTTTGTCTTCCTCTGGTCAAGTTCTCATCAAACCATTGAAGCCAGCTAGGTCGGATGGGTACTGTCTACAAGTTTGAGCGTTCTTGTGCGTCTCCCCTCACTTCACATCAGCAGGGTGCTTCACTCTCAACTCCAGCCCTCTGTGGCTATGTCCCTGTCCATGGGCTCAGGAGTCCCCAGGTCTCACCACACTTCGGACCAACCAGCCTCTCCTCCTCTCTGTTTCATTTCCAGGTAGACAGGAGTCTATGGAACTTGGTCAAACTCTGCCCAATTCTTCATTGCTGCCTTTCCCCCTCTTCCACTCACCAGGAGACCATTGTGGTCGCCAGCAAGCTTACATGCCTGGTCCTGTGTGTTCCTTTTGCGTTTCAGTCTTGGAGGGGGATTTGTCTTGAAGGGACTTGATGGTTCCCCAGAGAACAACTTGCTTGTTCTTGTAGCCAATCAGATTGCCATTTTTGTTTTTTATTTTTCCTGCTGGTCTTTCTTTCAAGAAGTATCTTCTGTTCCCCTAACTATTCCAGGCTGGTCTGCTTGTCCTTTCAAGTAGGAATGTCCCACCTCGGAGGGTTCTGGATGAGGCCCAGGATAGGCCTTATAGACGACAAATAGCCTGGTCTCTCTCTCTCTCTTTTTTTTTTTTTATGATTTTGAGTTTTCTACATTTTTCTCCAGCTCTGTTCAGGACTTTCTAATGTGATCCTTTTCAGAGCTGTTGGTAATTCATCTGGTCTCAGGGCTGTGGAGATTGATGTTCATATAGGCCATTAGTCCACTGAACTAATTTTTTCTATGTGTCTTCAATGTTCATTATTCCTCTTTCTTCCAGACAGAGAAAGACCAATAACTGCACCTTAGATGACCTCTTACAGGCTAGACACTACTCACCAAAGTAGGAT